GGATTTAGCTCAGTGGCATAAGCACCTGCCTGTCAAGTGCTAGGTAATGAGTTTGATCCCTGGTACAAAAAACAAACAAAAAGTGAGCTTCAGGCCAGCCCAAACTGCACAGCCAGACCCTGTCTCAAAAAAAAAAAAAAAAAAAAAAAAAAAAAAGGTGGAAGGGAGACTGGGGTGTAGCTCAGTGAGAAGACCTTGGTTTCCACCCCCACTACCATACCAAAAAAAAATGCAAAATTTTTATATCAATGTTTATATAAAACAGACACACAAGCAAGCATATTTCGTGCCAAAAAGAACTGAGTGGTGGAAATGACACCTGCTGGAGTGACATCTGGGATCATCACTGCCCAGCCATGCTTGGGGAAAACGGTTGAGTGGTTAGCTAGGAAAATACAAGTCATCCTAGAAGTAACCCGTTTGGTCTTGGAGGTTATTTACAGTCTATGCAAGATGAATGTGTTAGCTGCCAGTAGGCAGAACACTTGCCATCCACGTGTGGGAAGTGTGCTGACCTGAGGTCACCAGGACAGAGTCCTGGTCCTGGATCTGCTCTTGACAACCTGCAGGACGTGGGAGACGTCACCTTTCTTCTTGGTCCTGTTTTTCCCTCTGACTAGAAGAGTGGTTTGTTACCGCTAGGTACTGGCTACTGTTGGAATTGCTCTGGACACAGCGATGTACAAAACAGACAAGTCTCAGCCCTTGCTGGCTGCACCGATGCAAACCTGTAATCCCAGTACCCAAGTTGAAGCCCATTTTGGGCAGTTGAAATGCACTCAGCGAGATCCTGCTTCAGAATGAAAAAAAAAAAAAAAAAAGTAATAAAATAAAATAAAGTGTGATAAAACAAAAAGCAGAAAAAATTAAATAAGGGCTGGGGAGCCGGGCGTGGTGGCTCACGCCTGTAATCCCAACACTCTTGAGAGGATGAGGCAGGAGGATCCTTGTGAGTTCTAGACCAGCCTGGGCTACAAAATGAGTTCAAAGCCAGTCTGAGGGGCTGGGGATTTAGCTCATCGTTAGACGCCTACCTTGCAAGCAGGCAGTCGTGAATTCGATCCCCAGTAAAAAGGAAAAAGACCAAAAAAAAAAAAAAAAAAAAAAAGCCAGCCTGAACTGCAGAGAGACCCTGTCTCAAAAAGACCAAAAAAAAAAAAAAAAAAAAAAAAAAAAAAAAAAAAAAAAAATTTTTTTTTTAAAAAGGGCTGGAGATTTAGAGCAGCCGCTTAAAGGCCTCCCTGGCAAATGCAAATTCTTGAGTTTGATCCCCAGTACTAATAAAATAAAATAAACTACGATGGCAATCTTTCTGCCTCAGCCACTGAGTATCTGGCTAGTGCAGGTGTTTGACCCAGTGACAAAAAGCTGATTAACACAGGAAATGGGCATGATAAATGTGTGAAAAGCAAGGGTAAGCACAGAGCATAGCAAATGGACAGCAGAGAGGATCTCAGAGGACCTCAGAAGCCCTCGCAATGGCTTCAACTTTTGCTTTGGGCCCAGTGAGAAGCTGTTGGAAGGTTTTAAGCTGGGTAAAGACAAGTGACCTGCTTTGGAGATTCTCAGATCGAATTCGTGGAAAGAGGCAAGAGGGCCCTCACACCAGTCTCGCCTGCTCCCCAAGGCGCCTGCGAGGCAGGTCGGAAGCCCCCAGCCCCCGAGGCGCCAGCGTTTTGCACGCGCCCCACCCCGGCTTCAAGAATGCTGTTGCCCCACAGTTCCTCTAGGTGGCAGTGCTGCCCCGCGCGCAGGGGCCGGCGCTCTGTGTATTTTGGTTTATTCTCAAAGCTGCTGGTCCTTTCTGAATAGAGAAAAGCCGGCAACCAGCAGTCCTCACCCTGTCCTGCCTGCCCCGCTCCCCCAAGACCTCCCGCTTTGCAAAGGAGCCTGGGGGCAGCCAGGCTAGCGAGGCCGACCCCGCCCGTGCTGGCCACTTCCAGGAACTGCGGAAGGGAGAGAGGAAGATGGAGCTGTGTCATCCTTCCTGTGCGCACCTGGACGAGACTGACGCGTCTGCTTGTTTGGTCTCTAATGATAGTCACTTTACACACAAATTAAGGGAGGCGAAAGCCTCACACACATTCGATGGCCCCGTGCTGCAGGCTCCAGGACGATGTCCTGAGTACTTAGGAATCTGTCCCCTGTGTTTCTGGGAAATGTGGCAATGTAGCTTTCGGTTTGGTTTAGGGGTTTGTTTTGTTTGCGACAGGATGTCACCGTGTAGTTCAGTTCAGGCTGATCTTGAACTCACTATGCAGCCCAGGCTGGCCTGAAACTTGCTGTGATTCTCCTGCCTCAGCCTCCCGAGTGCTGGGATTACAGGGAGGGACCACCACGTCTGGTTTCTGGGAAATAAACCGGCTTCCTTCCCTGTGCTCACTGCGGTCTATCTGGGCTCTGGCTGGAAACAAGGTACCATCTTCATTTCTCCTCCCCTTCTCCCTTGCCACATCTATTAAAATTGGGTTAAGCAGGGCTCTGCAGCGCATGCCCGAGATCTCCGCTACTCAGGTGGTTGAGACAGAAGGATCAAAGGTTCAAGGGCACCCTGAACAACTTGTGGAGACTTCGTCTTAAATTTTAAAATAAAGGAAGGTGGTGGTGTAGTGAAGTAATACAGTGCCCCAGTTCAAGCCTCACAAAAAGAAAAACAATCGTGTGTTAAAGGTGCAGCTCCCTGCCCAGCCTGGGGCAGCCCTGGCTTCAGTCTGCCTGGAGGGGGCAGGTGTACTAAGGCCCAGATAGTCCATGGCTGTGTGTGGCGGTGCACACTTATCTCAGCATTTGGCAGGCTGAAGCGGGACACTGCAAACTTGAGCAAGACTCTTGTCTCAAAAAAAAAGAAAGAAAGCCAGAGTGCAAGGCAACAGGAAGGAGACTGTGGCAAACCACAGTTTATTGAGGAACCTCACAGCTACTGCACAGTCCCAACAACTGTCACATGGGGACGCAGGCCAATGTGGGCAAGAACCAGAAATCTGATGTCATTTTGGTTTTATGAGTAGCAGGCTTTGGTATGTTTCCCATTCTGTTTTCTTTTTTTTTTTTTTTTTTTCTTTTTTCTTGAGCCTCACTATATAGTTCGGGCTGGCCGTGAATTTGTTTATGTAGCCTACGCTGGCCTCAAACTCCGAGACTCTCCTGTCTCAGGCTCCTGAGTGCTGGTGTATTGCCACCATATCAGACACTGATGCTGGTCTTAAATTTGCAGTTTAACAGCCTCAATCTCCTGTGCAGCTTTGTAGGCATGACTCACCATCCCCTGCTTGATCCCCCTCCCACCTGGGGATTGCCCCGGGGACCTTCACACCAAGCTACAACCCCCACCCCGCCTCATTTTGAGACAGGGTCATAGTCACTAAGCTGCCTGGGCTGGGCTCAAATTTGTGATCTTGCCTCAGAAAGTAATTTCAGAATGCTAGGATTATAGCTGAGTGCCACCACACCCAGGTATTGATATATTTCTGTTTTTGTTTTTTTGGTGCGCACCTGAGAATCATGACCTTGTGGCTGGCCAGGCAGACACTGCCGCTGAGCTATATCCCTGACCCCCTGATATGTTTTTTTTTTTTTTTTGTCTTTTTCCTTTTTATTGGTACCAGGGATCGAACTCACGACTGCCAGCTTTCAAGGCAGGCGCTTATGCCGGTGAGCTAAATCCCCAGGCCCTGACCCCCTGATATGTTTTTAATGTGAATAATTAAAATAAATAATTTTAATATTGGCTACTTTTTTTGAAAAATATCTTAAACAGGCTGGAGATGTAACAACATAACTAGTGAATGTGAAACCCCGGGTTTGATTCCCAGCACCATATGAGAGAGAGAGAGACTGAGAGAGAGAGACAGAGAGAGAGAGACAGAGAGAGACAGAGAGAGACAGAGAGAGCCAGAGAGAGAGAGAGAGAGAGAGAAGGAGAGAGGAAAGAAGGAAGGAAGGAAGGAAGGAAGGAAGGAAGGAAGGAAGGAAGGAAGGGAAGACCAAGTACTAAGTAGACCACAGCCAGGAAATGCGACATGTGGATGGACAGCTTTTAGCACGCCACATCCCAGTCTGACCACAGGCTTCAACACCAACAGCCACATTATAGCCACATTATAGCCGCCTCCTCTTTGGTCTCCCAATCAGCCTTGCACATTTCTGTGCACCCGCGCAGTCATCGCGCGGGTCCCAGTGCGCATGTCACGCCAGCTCATTCCAGGGTTACCTGCAAAGTGACGTCCAGATGGTTCATGCCGGCTGCGGCACTGGTCGCTGTGACTTCAGCGCACCCCATGAAGGGCTGTCCCACAGCAGACACCCCGCAGCTCCTGTTACCTCCCCAGAGCCCGTGCTTGGCACACACCCACTGTAAGGTCTACCCAGAGGTCTGTATCCCCACTACACCCGCTGGACCCTGGCACAGGTTCTACTCATCTGTGCACTGGTGAGGCATCTACCACCTAGAAGGCGGCTGGAGAAATGTCATGAACAGACAAAAACAAGCGCTGAACACACCTGTAATCCCAGCTACTGAGGAGGCTGAGGCAGGAGGATCGCTGCCAGTTTGGTGCCAGCCTGGGCCATGCCACAGTGAATTCAAGGCCTGCCTGAACTACATAGTGAGACCCTGTCTCAAAAATAATAAATAAATATTAAAATTTTAAAAAGGGTTGGTGCTATAACTCAATGTGAGTGTCCTGGGATGAATCCTCAGTACTCCCCTGAAAAGGGGTGCCAAGGATGTACCTCTGTGGTAGTGTCCTAGGTTCAACCCCTAGTATGGGGTGGGGAGATTGAATGGTGACAGCTCAGTAAAGTAGAACCATCCGAAGGGTGTTTATTTCCCACTCTGTTGTAATTGACACCTGAGCGCCCTTCTGATTTTCTTCTTTCCCTGCATAGGGACTGAGATTTGAAGCTGCCCAAGTGCTCAGAGTGCCCAGGAGAGCTGGTCTCTGTCTCCGTGGGAGCTCCTAGGGGCAGGTCTCTGGGCTTCCTGGACTTCCTTAATCCTTTTGAATTTTAATTTTTGCGGCAGTTTCCTTAAAGAACCTGAAAGAGAGGTCAGAGAAAGTCCTGATGAATTACAAACAGTAAAAGCATCTCAGAAGTAAGGGGAGGGTATGAAGCCAGCTGTGGGGCCCCACGCCTATAAACCCCATTCGGAAGACTGAGGCAGGAAAATTGCCATGAGTTCAGGGCCAGCCTGAAATACACGGGGAGACCCTATCTCAAAAAGAAAAAGAAAAGCATGTGGAAGACATGGTGAGAGCAGAGAAGGAAAATAAAATCTTCTTTATGACGTTGTCCCTTCCTGTCTTCTTGCTGAAATCCTGGGTTGGGGGGGGCATCACCCGTGATCTCCAGACGGGGACCCCAGAGCTGGCACAGACTAAGGAAGTGAAACCCCGGAGCCTCTCGGTGAGTAAGGGGCACAGTCAGGACCAGACCCCGGTTTTCCTGACTTCTGGCTTTGTGCTGATTCCTCCCAATTCCCTTCTGTGGCTCATGGCCCGATTCCTGGTGCTTTGCTGCTGTTCAAAAACACCACAGCCAAGCTTCAGCCTAGAGCCGATGTGTGGCCGGGTGTGATGGCACAGGTTTGTGATCATAGCCCTGGGAGGCTGAGGCAGCAGGATCGTGAATTCGAGGCCAGCATACTGAGACCTTGCCTCAAATAAAACCAAAAAGCAAAACAAAACTAAAAAAAGACTTGCAAACTGTTCTTATGACCACAAAGACATTATGCAAGTTACTCAATTGCAGGGTGACTTGGGGAATAATCTTAACCCACTCATTGTGGGTTTCCCAGGAATTAAGTGCTTTCTCACATGACAGAGGAAGAAGACAACCTCATCTCTCACCCCCTCTCTGAGCTTAATTCCTCCAAGGTTTTCAAAGCCTGTTTGTAGGTTGAGAAACAAGCAAAAGGTGCCAAAAGGAAGCAACCAGAAACAATCAGGAGGTGAAACAGCCTGGAAGACTAAGACTAAGAACCCCCCTTAGTCTTCTTTCATAAGATTGAAAAGACATAACCAGGTAGAATGCATGGTTTGGGAACAGCTATCTGTGAAATTTGAATATGGACTATTTAATCCAATTATTATATGCAAGGAAAATTTTGATCTGGAAAAGCTGATACCACTAACTCCAAAAGCAAGTCAGATCAAAATCACATATGCAACATAGTCAGTCTCGTTTTTGTTAAAAGACATATAATGCAGCCAGTAATCCCAGCACTTGGGAGGCTGAAGGGGAAGGATCACTGCAAGTTCAAGACCAGCCTACATAGGGCCACATAGTGAGACCCTGTCTTAAAAAAAAAAAAAAAAAAAAGGTCGAGGCTATAGCTCATCAGCACATGGGCCTGCCTGGCAAGTGCAAGGTCTTGAGTTTGATCTCCGGTACAAAAAAAATACCCAAAAAACAAAATACCATAAAGTACATTTGAAAAAAAAACGTGGGCAGTGTTAACAATGGTGATGACAATGTGTTGTTGGTATTTTCTTATTTTTGCTTATCCGTGTTTAACATTCTATGTATATAATAGTGAAAATGTTTACTGCGAAACCCAAACCTCTCAGCCACAGACCAAGGCTCTTTCTCCTTCTACCCCTGCTCTGTATCTCTCCTTCTCTCACTGCGGGGGTGGGGCATTCAGCCGGTGGCCCCGCCCCCTGGCACACCCCTCCCCCACTCTGCCCTCCTCCATCTGCCTCCTTATCCTTTCAGTAGATCTGTCCCTAACCCAGCCTGTCCCGATTCCCACACCCTGAGCCCTGTGGCCTTGAGGGCTCACAGAAGCAATGGAGACTACTTTTTCCAGATGCTGCAAGGCCTATGTGAAATGAAGATGCCCAGGCCTGGCAGAAGCCAGCTGTGGTGGTACACCCCTGGAATCCCAGAAATCCGAGATGCTGAGGTGGCCGGATGGTAAGTTTGAGCCCAGCCTGGGCAATTTAGGAAGATCCTGTCTTAAGAAATAAGGGCTGAGAAGGTAGCTCAGGGAGAAGGCTGGGGTTCAATCCTAGTATGATGGTGGGGGGACCCTCTGGCACCTGGCAGAGAAAAAGTCTGGCCCAGAACTCATCTGATTCATGGACTACTGGCCATGCAAGTCTCTTCTTTCTTATGGTTTGGTTGGAGGGACTGGGGATTGAAGCCAGGATGTGCTGAGCTACATCCTCAGCTCCTTTTAAGTTCATTTTGAGATGGCATCTCATCAAGGTATCCAGGCTGGCCTCAGCCTCCTGCCTCAGCCTCCTGAGTAGCATGCACCACTCGTCCTAGTTCCGCACAGGCTTTCCTGGCCCGGAATCCATTGTACCTCTGACTTCCTCCATTTAAACTGTGGGCACAGGGCTCAACAGGCCCCATCCATGCCATCTGCAACTGATGGTTTTCTCTCCTGCTTGCCTGTGAGCCTGAGGGAACAGCTGGCCCGAGGCCACCTGAGTCGGGTTGCCCTAGAGTCACCCTAGCCAGGCAGGGCTTGAGAGGAACTGCAGGGTCCACTCCAGAATACCCCCAGGGACCTTGGGCCAACTGCTTACCTTTCCCTTCCACAGCAGTTAGCGCTGGAGACAGGTGGAGAAGTGCAAAATCTCTCCCTGTCTCAGGGCGGGAGGGTTCACCCCAGGCTGCACCTTGGCTGGGGCCCTCACCCCACCTCTGCCCTGCACCTCACCCCAACCTGGGGGAGAGGGGCTCCTGCTGGGGCAGCGCAGATCCACCCTCCCAATCAGCTTACACTTACCTACCTCTCCTTGCTTCTAGTCCTGGAATGGGCAGAGGAAAAATGAAGAATGAAGAGCAGGTGGAAAAGAGGGACAGGACCCTGTCAGGCCCAGGCGGAGCCCCTGGAAGGCACAGCTCCGCCCAGCCCACCTGAGCGCTGGTCCAGCCAGGGGGCCTTACCTGACTGGCACCCTGGCTCCCGTGGCAGGGAGACCTCCCAGCCAGATGCCTGCATCTTGGACAGCCTCTCCTGCATGCCCCGGAGGTTGCCGTTCAGCCCCCAGGCGTTGCACAGCTTGGGCAGGCTGTCCTCTTGCTGGGCCAGCAATGTGCTCTTCTGCGGGTCCTCTTCCCGGAACACCGCCTGCAACCAACAGCAGGTGCGGGCCAGTCAGGAAGGCCGGGCCTGCACCCTCAGCTTAGCTCAACACCTGCTATGGAGCTGCAGGCTGCACCTCACATTCCTCTCCCAGAAAGCAAGGGTGAGAATCACAGAGGAGAAAAGACCTGAAGGACACGGAGGCCCCATGCCTGGTGTCTCTTCCTGTATTGCAGGATTATCCTTTATGTTTTATTTAATTATTATTTTTGCATGCTGGGAATTGAACACAGTGCTTAATGCATGATAGGCAAGTGCTCTGCCACAGAGCTACACCCCATCTGGGTTTCTTTTCAGTTTGTTTGTTTGTTGTTGCTGTTTTTGAGACAAGATTTTGGTGGCCTAGAACTCAGTTCCCTCCTGCCTCAGCCTCCCAAGGGCTGGGATTACAGCCACGTATCACCACATTTGGCTTGAAGTTCTGTTTTATTTTAAGATCATGCTTTCCATCTCTTTTGGAGATAATAACATCTGCTTTGTTTGTGATGAAACAATGGTACTTGTCTTAAGACTCTAATTTAGCAAAATTTGAATTAAAGCTGGGTATGGTGGCCCATCCTAGTAGTGTCAGCACTCTGGGAGGCTTAGGCAGAAGCATCATACATCTGTTCATTCAAACCCAACCCGGGCAATTTATCAACATAACAAGACCCTGTCTCAAAATACGAATAAATAAATAGGGCTGTGGATTTAGCTCAGCAGCACAAGTGCCTGCCTAGCAAATGTGAGGTCATGAGTTTAATCCCTGGCACCAAAAGTAAACAAACAAACAAATGAATAAATAAATCAGGCTGAGGATGTAACTCAGTGCAAAGATCCTGGTTCAACTTCTGACATAAATAAATAGCTTGGAGCAATTTTGAAATGTTTTATGTCCAATGAATTTCAGAAATCCAACAATCACGAAAATGGAAACTTTTCCTATTTGCAAATGCAGTCACTAGAGCCAGGACCAAGGTGCGTGCCATGGAACCACCTAAGCGGGTTATTGCTGGAGCCGAAGTGGTTGGGGCCCTCGTGGGCCACCTAGTGAGAGCCCAACCAGGCGAGGCAGAGCAAGCCTTTGGAAAGGCTGAGGCTGAAAAGAGGATTGTCATGAATCTGAGGCCATCTTGGGCTACAGAGTGAGTTCAAGGCCAGCTGAACTACATCTCAAGACCCTGTCTCAAAAAAAAAAAAAAGAAAGAAAAAGAGAAAAGATGGGCTTGAAGGCATGGCTCAGTGTAGAGTGCTTGCCTAGCATGTGTGGGGCCCTAGGCTCAATCCGCAGTGCTGGAAAATGAATGACAACAAAAGGAATCACAGAAATGATCCGACCTTCCTGTGCAGAGGAAGAAGCGGAGAGGCAGAGAGGGCAGGGGAGCCCGCTGGAGGAGGGCTTTCATCCCAGGCAAATGGGATTTGAACTGGGCTTTTTTCCCTTTCACTTGCTGTGTGGCTGGGACCAAGTCACTTTACCTCCCTGCATGCGGGACCTTCATTTACAAACCAAGAATAGCGCTTAGGGCTGCTTTTGAAGATTCCTCGAAGAAACAAAGTGCCTGACACACAGAAGGCCTTCACACCTCTTCCTAGGGTTATTGCCAGCAGTTCTCAAGTATGTTTTGCAAACCCTTGGGAGCCCCCTGGATAACAGCATGCATCTAAGGTGCAGAAGACAAGGCTGCTAGATTCTAACGCAAGTGGCATGAAGAGCTCATCCACTTGAGTCTGAAAAGGGCATGGAATTTGTCCGGTTCCATCTATGTGACATTCTGGGAAGGCAGAACTGAGGAGACAGCAACAAGATTAGCACTGGCCAGAGGAGAAAGAGGGATCTAGGTGGAGCCCAGGGTCCCATAATGTTTGGGTCCCTGCCATCCAACCTTTGTCGAAAGACAACAGACCCGCACAAGACCGAACCTACTGTTCACTAAGGGCTTTAGCTAAGCATGATGTATCCACATTGGTGCATCAGTGGTGGTAAATGTACCACTCCAGGCAAGTTGCCAATAGCTGGGGAAGCACCGGTTGGAGGGAGCGGAGGGGAGCCCTGTATATCCCACTCGGTTTTCCTATAAACTGCACACGGATTTTTCATTTTGCTTTATTTTTGTTTGAGATATGGTCTGACTATGTAGCTCAGACTGGGCTCAAGCTCAGGATCCTTTTTCCTCAGTCTTTGATTACTGGGATCATAGATACGTGCTTCCATATCTGGCAGCCTATAACTTCTTTTATAAAAGTCTATTTAATCCCAGCTCCCTGAGAGGTTGAAGCAGGAGGATCTCAAATTCAAGCACAGCCTTGGCAACTCAACTATTTAGCAAAAGCTTGTTTCCAAATAAAAAGCCAGATATGGTGTTGCATGCCTATAATCCTAGCACTCAGGAGGCAGAGGCAGGAGGATCACCCTGAGTTATAGGCCAGCCTGGGCCAGCCATAGTGAGTTAAAGGTCAACCTGAACTATGTAGTGAGACCCCATCTCAAAAGAAACCAAAAAACAAAGACAAAGCAAGGGGTCGAGTGGGAAAGGTAGCTCAGAATGAAGGCCCTGGGTTCAAATCCCCATACAAAACAAAATGAGATATAAAAAAAAATCTACCATTTGTTAAACTTTGGTATGTTATCAAAGAAAAATATTCACAGTTATCTAGAAACACTAATAAAATACTCTTTTTCTGAGCGTGTATCTGGATGAAGTTGGGTTTTCTTGATGTACTTCATCCAAGAGACTATTCCAGAAGAGACACAGATGCTGCTGAGAATCTAGCTGCCTTCGATTAAGCTGGCACTAAAGAGATTTGCAAAAATGTAAAATGCTGCTACTCTGCTAATTTTTATTTATTTGGTATTTTTGAGATAGGATTCTGTTATGTAGTTCAGGCTGGACTTGAGCTCACTTTGTAGCCCAGGCCGGTTTTGAACTTGCAACGATCCTCCTGCCTCAGCCTCCCAAGAGCTAGGATTACAGGCATATGCCCAGCTACTCTACTGTTTTCTTTCTTTCTGTCTTAAAAATACAGTTTTTTTTTTCATAAAACCTGTTAAGCTGGGTTCCTTATTTTTTTTAAAAAAACAAATTAATAAATAAAATTGCTTTTCTTCAGCTTTCATTCTGACGAGGATCATATGAATAGATATAACCCGCCTAAACAAATGTCTTTGGTGTTCTTAATGATGCTGAAGAGGACACATGTGTCCTGAGACCAAAATGTATGACAGCCACCATTTCAGGGGCACAGCCCAGCCAGACTCTGTTGACAGAACCCAGAGATCCCCAGGCTGGGTGGCTCTAACATGGCTCCTAGGGTCTCCTGTCCCCATTAGAGTCAGGTGGTGGTGTGGACAGTGAGCAAACAGCAGGGTCCTGAGGCTGAGCCCACCCTGCCAGGCCAGGCCAGCCCCTGGTGCACCATCTTGGAACCCACCACCAGCCAGCACCCGGAAGCTCACCAGCAGCTTGGTCACCTGGTTGCTCTTGCTGTACTTGTAGAGCTGACGAAGCTGCTTCGCTTCTAGTTCTGAGAAGAGGGAGATGAATCGCCAGAGCATCCTGCAGGGACAGACCTGCAGCTAAGGGATCTGGGACACTGTCCCTTTCCCCCCTCGCCTTTGTCCTGTGGAGTGTCGTGGTCAGGGAGAAATGGGCCATGTGCTCCTTCCTTGATCTAGGGTGGAGGGGACAGGAGGTAGAGATGAGCACCTGCTCATGCAGAGGTCCCTCTTCCCAGGAGCAGGGGAGGTTTGTGTCCACTGTGTGGCATCTTCTGTGCTCCCCTGGGTGATGAGAGTGATTCAGCTCTCTCCTCACCCTGTCCCACCCAGGATCCATGATTTCACTATGCTGCCCAGGCTGGACTCAAACTTGCCGTCCTCCTGTCTCAGCCTCCCAGGATACTGGGATGGTGGGCATGTGCCACTATGGCCAGTTGGGTGATCTTGCCTAAGGTGTAACCTCTGTTGGAGATGGGGTGGCCCAGAATGAAGGGTAGGGAAAAGACAAGGAGGCCACCCCACTTCTTCCAGTGCTTGATTTCCCAGGTGCGGCAGCAGTGCTGCAGAAAGGTATTGATGTGGTCCCCCAGGACCACAAGGCTGTGCTTCATGTGCTTCAACCTCTTCTTCTGTGGGAGGTCCTTGGGCAGGTGCAGCTTTCGCAGGAACTTCTTCAGTGGCCTGAGATATTCTTTACACTGAGGAGGCAACAGGCAAGGTGAGAGCTTTGGGGGAAAAGAAGAGGCAGACAGGCTGGGCTTCGTGGTGACAGTCTGGCATGGCTGCAGCCTCAGTAGTCCAGGAGGTGCCATGTGTGCCCAGCAAGGAGACTCCCCTTCTCCATAGGGTGTGGCAAAGGGGCAATGACTATGGGCCTGACGCCTGCCCATTCGTCACAGGGGAGGAAGACACAGGCTTCCAGGATGCCCATACTCACAATTTTGAAGGTGTCCGTGTCCAAGCCCTCTGCATGGCAGATGAGTGAGCCTCTGGTAGGGATGGTAGCAGAGCTCTTCCCTATGTGGGGCACACTGGTCACCTGGGGAGGCAGATGGTCAGCTGGAGCTCGCGGTCACAAAGGAGCAATGCTGGGCAAGCTCAGCCCTCTGTGTTCTGCTCACCTCTTTCTCAGCCCAGAACTGATGTGTGCCAAGAGACCCACTCTGAGACCCTCCACATAGGCTATCGTGGGAAAACCAGGGTTGAATCAGATGGAAGACATGCAGACATAAGGTGTTGGAAGGTAACTGTCTATTACCCCAGAGGGTGGGGGAAACTCAGTTCCAGATCATCAGCCCTGCCTTGGGGCTAAGCAGACATTTATATATGTTTAGGCAGGAAGTACGAAAGGCTTCTAGCAGGTTATTTCATAGTTGGTTGCTATGATGGGCTGACAACTGCTGGTCCCACTTGTAACACTGGCTGAACTGAGTCAGCATGGTGCTGGGTGTGGGAGGCCCACCTGAGGGTTGTTGCCAGCAGATTAAAAAGAATTTAAGAGGAAGAGGAAGTGTTGTCGGTTGTGCTGTTGCTGTTGGTTCTACTGTGGGTTCTTGACAAGAAGCTTGTTGAGCTTCTTTCCTGATATGAAGTTGGCTGTTCTCACTCTCAGAGGAGCTCAGGACCTTGTTGTCACTGAGAATTGTGGGGAACCACCCAGATGACTCTTCTTGGAAAGAAGAACAGCTGTCTCAATTTTGGATAAACTTGGCCCTATCTCCATGTATTGATATGTACAGAGCTGGCCAGGCTATTTCTTTACCCTTTAACTGGCTTTAAACAATGTAAGTTGGGCTGGCTGAGAGCTGATATGTAATCTCTGAAGCAAAGCGACTGATCAGTGTTACCCCACCCAGTGACTCCCCAAATATGTGGTTGAGCCAGACAGAGAGCTAGACAGACGGAGAGCTGAGCTCCACACTATCGGCTGGGACCGAGCCTCGGGAAACAGGCTATGACTTCCCAAGCAAAAACAATTGTCCATCAGAGCTGAAGCACCGACCCCAAATTATTAGATACTACCTCAGCTGTATTACGCAGATTATTCTCTCTTCATTTCTTGCCCTCTGCATATTGCAGAGGTGATCTCAGACCTCCTACCTTGGCCAGCTTCACAGCAGTCATGGCAGTCACGCCACTCCTTTCATGGAGAATTAATAAAGCACAGGTTGGGCTCTGGGCCATGGCCTTTGTTCCAGTGACCACTGTCTTGGCTGGGCGTAGGACCCTTGGCTCCCTGTAATGGTATGTGTGTCCTAGTGTCTTTATTCTTGCCTTGGGTTGCAATGGAGGTGGTAGATTGCAATTAACTCACAGGAATTCCAATGACTTCTCCTGGGGATTACAAATAGAAACCTTCCTGGACCATGATGAGGATGGGAAGTTTCACTATACGGAATGACCCTGGGTCACTGTGGGGGAGCTCTGATCCTTACTTTGAGCATCGATTCCTGGCTCTGGAGAGGAATGTGGTGCGCTGCTCAGTCTCCAGGAGAAGCTTGTCATGCTGGAAGCTTGTCATTCCTGGTTTGAACTCAGCCGTTCTCATCAGAAGAGCTCTGGACCTCACTGTTGCTGAGGATGGCTGAGGTTCTTTTGCGGGGAGACCTGGTCTTTACTCTGAGCATCACTTCCTGGATCATTGCAGATCCCTAGGCCTGCTAGCACAAATCTTTCATCCTGCTGGCACAGACTTTCATCCTGCTGACCTTTGGGCCTTCCCAGTGAGGATCCTTGATACAGACTTCCATGAGACATTGTCATGGGCTCTAGGTCTCCAGTTGGACTGGTGACAGGCATTGTCATGGGCTCTAGGGCTTCAGCTGGATTCATCTAGGACATTGCCATGGGGTCCAGACCATCAGCTGGATTCTTTGTGTCTTAGAGTGTGGACAGATTTCCTGTACTTTCTTGTGTATTTAACTCTTTGGGTGACTATTATAAAATAATCCTGGGCTAGCGGTTTAGCTCAGTGTTCTAAGCTCCTGCCTGGCAAGCACGAGATCATGAGTTCGATCCCCGGTACCTAAAAAATAATCCTGTAAATTTTGTGTCCTGTATTGAATCATTTTCCATGCAAACCCTGACTACAATGGTTACATAGGCTGGGTCATATGTTGGAAGGAAGACTTGTGCTGGGATGAAGGGGATTTCTTTTCATACAGCAGGAAGCCCAGGGCTTGGGTGAGTGAATAGAACCAATCATTTGTCTTTAACTTGAAGCAAGTTAGCACAACAGGATGTACTTTTTGGGGGTTGAGGGTTTAGCTCAGTGGCATAACATCTGCCTGGGAAGCAAGAGGATCTGAGTTCAATTCCTGATACCAAAAAAAAAAAAAAAAAGGAGAATCTGGGTGGGTTACAGAAAGTGGGGATATACTGGGGCTGGAGATATGGCTTAGTGGCATAGCACTTGCTTGGCAAGTGCAAGTGCTGAATTCAATTTGCAGTACCAAACCAAATAAAACAAAATAAAAAACCCTGCACTTTCTGGCTGAGTTATGTCTATCTTACAAGTTGCAGCTAGCACGTTAGACTCAAGGTTAGCTGAGTCTAACTGGGCTTTTCCGGTCTTTCCACCAGGTTATAAGTTTTAAATTTTCCTTTACATTCTCTCCTGCTTTTTACAGGGATGATTCTTCTTCCTCAGCTTTAAGAAGTTGATAGGAAGAGGTGGTTTTTTAAAAAGCAGATGGTGGTGTATGGCCTCATACCATGAAGATAGAAAGTGGGTCAAAATCTGAATCACACAAGGGCTAACAGAAGTATTGACAGAAGGAGCATTATTGGCCCAAGCAAGACTCCTGCCAATGAAAGGAGAAAATCCAGGGATCCCCACCACAGAGAAACATTTATCCCATTTCTGGCAGGATCTGTTGTAAACCAGAGGGTCCCAGTCACCAGGATGGACATTCAGGTCCAGGGCCAGGAAAGCACACTGAGCACCACAGAGGCTCATGTTCTGGTGAGAAAACACACAGTAGACCCCATCGTACCACAGAAAAAGGTTTCAGCGTTTGCCTGGAGTTAGGTACTGGGTCTGGCCACAGAGGCACAGTGAGCTGACACATCTGGGAGTCCCCATATCCCAGCAAGCATGTGGCGTTTCCCATTATCTGGGTTGGAGAGGCACGGAGCAGACCGCTAAGGATTAACATTGAACCTGAATGCATCTGGAGTCTGTCCCAAAGTCCAACAGACAGGGCTGGAAGCAGCATACAGAATCAGCAGTCTTTGCCTAAGATGGGATCAACCTGCTGGAGGACTGCATGAGTCCCATCAACCAATTTAACAGGTCTGGAACCATTGAGATAGAGCTCTTGGTGTGTGAGAGCCTACAGTCAGTGAAAATCTTGGAAGCAGGCATACTTATTGTTGGCTTGGCAAGTCCGTTCCCAGCTCAGGTCACCACAGTCTGTGTAATCATCAGTGCTCCTTTGCCCTTTGGTCAGGGCGTGCATCAAAGTATAGAGTCACAGTAGGCTGGTGAAGGTCCCATCCACTGTGGTTGAGGAGATCTTGTGTGTCCCCCCAAGGAGACTTGGAACCCCCAATATCCTCCCCTCTGAGCAAGGGTGCAATGGAGTATCCCCAGGATACACATCCAAGGGCCAGGAATGGCTGCCATGTCACAGTTTCAATAGACAGTTGAGGGTACTCAGTCCAACAATCACAACCACATAGAAAAGAACACAGGGAACTTTTTCTGGAACTCCCCCAATCTTTTAGGGACACAGTCCAAAGCCCCAACAGCAAATACCAAGATGAATGGGAAGAAAAAGACTAGGAATGCAACAGAATAACAGTATATTAGGGGCACAGGTATTCCAGTATACAACGTCTGTTCAGTCTTCAGTCCTGAGCTACTTGTCAGCTTCCAGGGGTGACAAGAGCAGGGCTTAGGGTGCATTGTCCCCCAGGGTCGTCACCAAGGGGGCGGACTCATCAGGGCAGGCCTGCTAACATTCTTCAGGATGAGCCTTCTTGACCCTAGAGTGGTGACTCCAGGGCTGGATCTCTGTCATTTTAATTTCAGGATGACTGTGGGTAGCAGATCTATCCATGGTGTCTGAGTCTCTTAGTGATGTTTAATCAGTATTTTCTTTTTCTTTTTTTTGGTACCAGCGATCGAACTCATGACCTCACGCTTGCAAGGCAGGCGCTTATGCCGCTTAGCTAAATCCCCAGCCCAATCAGTATTTTCTTTAGGATTTGATTAATTTGTTTCACTTTGCCAGAACTTTGGGACCTATAGGCAGTGTGAAGATTTCATTTAGTTTTTAATTCTTTGGTCAGTTTCTGGATCATTTGTGCTACAAATGATGGTCCACTGTCATTGCCTACAGTTAGGGCAGCCCATATCTAGGAATAATTGCCCTTAATACCATTCTGCGTACTTTAGAAGAGTTTTCAGTTCTCGTGGGGAATGCTACTGGCCACAAGAATAAGTCCTAACAAGGACCAACAAGTACGTGTATCTTCGACATGGTTTAACTTTAGTAAAGTCTACTTGAAGGTTCTCAAAAAGAGAGCGTCCCATATGCTGAATTCCAGCTGGTGGCCCATTGAGGCCTCAGTCTTTGCATAAGTTTGGCTACACAAATCAATGTCAATTGTAGGGATATATATGTACAGTCTTTTTGAAACAGGGTCTATTTATGCAATTCAGGTGGCTTTGGGCTCACTTTGTAGCCCAGGCTGGTCTCGAATTTTTTTTTTTTTTTTTTGTCTTTTTCCTTTTTATCGGTACCAGGGATCGAACTCACGACTGCCTGCTTGCAAGGCAGGCACTTATGCCGCTGAGCTAAATCTCCAGCCCTGTCTCAAATTCATAATAATGCTCCTGCTTCAGCCTCTTGAGTGCTGGGATTACAGGCATGGGCCACTATACCCAGATTTCTGGGTAAAATAGTAGCAGTTCAGAAGCACGGCTAGAGCAGTCATACCTCTGTGGATAACATCACGATGACGTTTACCCAGGAGTACGCTAACTCCTTTGGTGTGATCATTTGATCATGTGACAGAGCCCAAGCTCCATCC